AAGAGTGCACAGTGAGTGGGAAACCAGCAGGTGCCCCATGCAACTCAATTAGCCAGAGAGAGAGAGAGAGAGAGAAATGTTGAGGGGAAGGATTCTCTAGCCTGAGCTAGAGCACAAAAGTCTCTTATTCCTGAGTGGTTTCCACTGTCCCTCTCAGATATAATTAATTTAATTTATGAGCTAATTACCTTACAAGGATTTCCTTCCCAGAGAGGGAAGGTAGCTAGGATGGAGAGCAGCCCACTCAATTAGCCAGAGAGAGAGAGAGAGAGAGAAATGTTGAGGGGAAGGATTCTCTAGCCTGAGCTAGAGCACAAAAGTCTCTTATTCCTGAGTGGTTTCCACTGTCCCTCTCAGATATAATTAATTTAATTTATGAGCTAATTACCTTACAAGGATTTCCTTCCCAGAGAGGGAAGGTAGCTAGGATGGAGAGCAGCCCACATCTCTGCAGGGGAGTTGGAGAAAGTTTGTAAGTAAGTAAATGCACTTTACAGAGGTAGAAGCTTGAATTCAGCCCCCAAAATAGCAGTGTGTAAAAAGCTGTGCAGTCTGGTTAACTCTCAGTGTTCCAGGGGCTAAACGTGCACTTAGTAAAACACCACAAGTCTGCATTGCTGGAGCACTGGCATTGTGAGAAGCCGCCAAATGCAGCCACCTCTGGAGCAGAGCACAGTAGTCTGTAAAAGATGCCCTGCAGCACCTTCCAGGACATGGCAGTTCTCACATCCAGGTCCCAATGGCAGGGGAACTGGCTGCAACTACCCAAGGTCTGCACTGCAGGTAGTCTTATGAAAAGTGCCTTTCTGTGTTTGTGTCCCCTCCTCCCCCCTCCCCACTTCCAACCCCCCCTACCACCATGCAGTTCACCTTCATCTCAGGGAGAAAAGCCCCTCCCTTCCACTGATCCTCCAGCACCCTGCACTCCAGCCGCCCCCAGGCTGATGACCCCCATCTCACATGAGTCTTAGGTGCAGTTTGTTTGCTCCTGCTCCCCAGCCAGTATGTGACATGTAATATTCAAGCCGTGTTGTCTGCACGCTGTCTATTGCCCTGGAGGGCTGTGGGGTAAGCCCTGTGCCTCTGCCTTCCAAAGGGCAGAGATCTGGGGTGGGCTTCCAAAGGGATTGAGTAAGAAACCGGCCCCGCCAGGAGCTTGGGTGTGTTCGGGCCCCTAGAGTGGCTCCTCTCTGATGTGGAGAGGAAACATTTTCAGGCTGGGCAAGGAGATAGAGCAAACCACAGAGATCTTGTTTACACAACACACCAGACACACCCACAGTAGCTAGGCGAGCGAAAAGGAGGAACACACCACACACGGCAGCTACTCCACCCTCTTCTGGTTGGGAACGGCACCACTGGAGACAAATATGGCCCCAGTTTTGAGTGCTCCATCTTGGGTTTGGTGCTCCTGGGCTACGTTGTGCTGCTGATAGCTACGCCTGGGACTTTCTGCTGGAGACTCCAGAATCAAAATGGGGTGCACTGTGGTTCCACACCACATGCCAGGACAGAAGGCCAGAAGCAGCTCTCTCTCTCTCTCCTTTATATCAGTGGCAATCTGGAGTAACTCATGACTCAGACCTGTTGTCAGAGGGGCTAATCTGACACCAGGGCAGGCAGCCAAATGCTGGGAAATGAAAGGTTTGCAACACGGTGGATAAAATAATCAAAGATGCTTTTTAAAAAAGTATTTTAAAATCTCCTTGTTTACTTAAAATATTTTTTTCTTTTTAAAGCTAAACCTAGTTAAATTAAATTTGAAATGTTGAAAGCCTGTATTGAGGCCTAAATTGACTATAACCTATTAAAATACTTTGCATTAAATAAATAAACCATAAGCAGTACATGTTTGCTGCCAAAGTTTTCTAGAAAGTCATACCACTGAGCTGGTGGATGTCAGGCTTTGTTGAAGTGCTATAACAGCTTTGGACAGCAGTAATCTGTTCTGTAGGTTGAGAGAGAATCCTTTATTTCAGTTTATTCAGTTCACTGACTAGTTCATTTGAAGTTGAGAAACTGACTATAAGTTGGCAAGAAAGGTTGTTTTCTGCTTCCAATTTATGAATAAAACTGAAGCATGAGAGGATAAGATCTACTAGTTCTAAAATCCTGAGGGGACTGGAAACCAAAAGTAATTAGTTAATTTCACTAATTACAGATAGTATTTCCTTTGTAAGGATAGTATTTTCCTTAAATCAGTTTTAAGTGAAAAATATGTTTGATAAATATACTTTTCCCCCCATCATGTATCAAGCACATTTAATGAAGTTTTATTTAAAAACAAGTTTGAAGTGCTGAATTTTGTACATTTTTAATTTGATTCCAACTTCCCTCCAAATGAAGCTTGACAAGAAAAAACTTCATCAACTTATAAAATAAGAGCATCATTCACTGTTTTCTAACATAAAAAATGTAAACATTAGGAATCTGGATGAATGAACAGTAAGCTACATAACTGCTTAAATATATAGTGTGTCGTCCTGCTTAGCAAAAATCCAACAAATTATATCAGTGAAAATCAATCTTTAAAAAAAAGTTATGCACAGCACAAATTCAAAACGAGAATAAAACTGATGACTTAATCAAGCTTTCCTACTTGTTTCCTTAAGAGATTTAACTCACCTGCTCTAATCAGTGTGAGTATAATTCCCCCCGTGTTTGCAAGCTGTTTTGGGGGCAAGAACAGAGGAACAATTTTCTCCCTGTAATTTAAGTCCAGGATGTTTCTTTGGCAGAAGCAGTTCAATTGAGAATGAAAGGCCCCAACTTTCCACCTAGAGCAGGGTTTCCCAGCCTATGGGTCGGGACCCAAATACAGGTTGCCGTTACATTTCAAAAGGATCACCAAGTGTCTCCCCAGGTGGTTCTGCCCCCTCTTCTTGCCTAGTTTTGAATTGCTTTGGGTCACCAAGTCTTCCTGAATTGTCAGAACGGGTCCCCATATGGAAAAGGTTGGGAACCGCTGACCTAAAGGGAAGCACGGGCCCTGTATTAGCAAGGCAAGATCCTCCCATCTCGGGGGGCAATGTAAGTGCAGCATGAGCAGCTAAGAGGTAGGCTTCTCTGAGGTTGGCCTCCCCTCTCTGCAGTCTCCCGTACCTCAGCGCCGCTCAGTTGCCTTACAGAGAATGTCCACATTCACCATGGGTCTGAAATCAAGCCAAACGAATCTGCTGACCCTTATAGGGATGTACCTTTAGGGGGCTCTCTCTCAGAGCTCTCCATGATCTAACAGCTTTTCCAGGGCAAACCCGCCTCAGGGCTCCCTACAGCACCCTGAAATAGGGAGTTTCTTCACCAGGAGGTCACCCATGTCTCGGGCCAAAAGAAATAGGGTAAATAAATTCCTGTTCTTCAGGTCCCTCGACGTAGCTGGACTCAGCTGTCTGCAGCCAGAGTCCTGTTTTGAAATTCCATTTCCCGGCACATTTGCACAGAGGCTAATGCGCAAGGGAAACAGCTCCAAAGCCTTCCTGATGTGGTATATAAAGCATGAAAAACCCTGCCTGGAAAGGCAGCGCTCTTTAAAGGTTAGGGCACCAGACTGGGTTCCAGGAGACCAGAGTCCTGCCCCAGCTCAGCCCTGACTTGCATTGTGACCTTTTCCAAATTAATCCATACATTTAACACTAATAACCACTGGTGCCTCAGTTTCCCTGTCTCTAAAGTCAGGGAGAATGGTGCTTGCCCCAGCTCAGTAAGGCTGCCAGAGATCTACAGCTGATCCCTCCCCAGATGCTAACTGCTCCTTGGTTTTTGCTTCCTCTAGGGGCACGACTCCTCACTGAATGGGAGCCAGCCCCTTGGATCAGTGTAAGTCTTAGGTTTGCTCTTTGAAATAAAACCTGAGCCCAAACTTCTCGCACAGGCAGCTGCTGCTGCTAAAGGAGCTCACTCAGTGTTCTCCTAACTCTCCTCCTAAGCCCCAAGCCCACACACCCAGCACCGCTTTCCTCACCCGGTAGCTGCTTCTTACCCTGCCTTGAAGAGGGCTACTGGTGAAGGAGGGTCCCAGGCTTCCCTCGCAGGTGCCCAGCGCAGCGAGTGTCAGGGGAAAACGCTCAGCGCTGCCTCATCTCTGCAAAACAAGAAGTGGCCCCCTGGAAGCCTGACTGGTTCTCCAAAGTACCTGTGTGTGTTCAGGAAGCCTCGTGCCGGTGTCAGAGCAAGAGAGGAAGGCGGAAGAGAAGTTGTGGTTTGCAGCATACTCATGACGCCGTTCCCCCAGAGTGCGTCACAGCCAAAAAGGAGAATCGCCACCCGGCAGGGGAGACTGGCTTTAAGGATGCTTCCCTCGCTGGGGAACCAGCAAGTCAAAGGGCATCTCAGGCACAGGCTGGGCTGAGCAGCATGGTAACTCTTACCCAGAGCCATAGCAGAGGCAAGAGAAGATGGAAACCTTGCAGCAGAGCCCAGATGAAATGGCCCACGAGAGACGGAGTGCAAGGGGGTAAACATGTTATGAAGTGAGCAATGCCTCAGCCTCTCCCTGCCCATGGCAGACACACACAACAGTCACGTCTGCCAAGTCTGCAGACAGCTGGTTGCAGGCTGCTGGCAGCAGGCCATCCCCCACAAGCCACGTGCCGTGTGGCCGGTGGGTGTGCTAAGTTTTCTGCCATTTACTGGTACTCACGGCATTCCCTAGACTTGGCAGGGGGGAGTAGAATAAGTTTTGCAGTGTCTGTTAAAAAGCGGAGATTTACCTGCCGCACTGAAAGGCTCTGGGAGTCTTGCAAGGTTGGAGCGGTGGTGAGGAAGGGAGCCTGGCTTTGAAAAACAGAAGGGGAAAACAATGAGCCAAACTGTATGTTTTAAAAATCCCTCCAGGGCCTGCAGCGGAGTCACTCTCTGCCTAGGGCTTGCTCGCAAGAACAGCCAGCCTGCAGCAAATTGTCTGCCTGACTGGCCAGGAAGAGCAGCTGGCTGGTTGGGCAACTGGGGGTGCAGCATGCCTCCAACCCCACTTCCTGCTCCAGGCTGCTCCCAGCCCCCCTTCTGCCCCAGTTCCTGCCTCTCCAGCAGTGATCCTTAGCTCTGCCTCTGGCTCAGCCTGCTGCTCCTGTCTCGCCAGTGCTGATCTCCAGCTCCGCCTGTGACCTGGGAGTCCAGCAGTAGCATTTGGCTTCTGTCCCTTGGCTCCCTGCTGGACTCTGCCTGTGCTGGGGCCAAACTCCCAGTTTAACGGTGAGGCCAGACCGCCCACGGCCAAGTGGGTAACACCCCCAAGTCTTCCACAGGAACATTTGTGCTCAGTTCATATTCACAAAAACTTTACTCCCCGCTCCCCAAACACACACATGGAGGCCAGAAGGGAGCATTTGGCAGGTGCCTTGGAACCTCAACAGCCTGGAGAATAACTGGGAGGGTGGGAGCTTAAGCCAAGGCATGTGTGCTGGCTGCAGAGCGGGGCTGTGGGACACGGATGCCCTGTGCTCCAACCAGGCAGGGTGGTTTCGTCCTTCCTCTAATGTGAAGCCAGCGTGTCTCTGCAGCACTCCACTGGGAGAGGAGCTTTGCTGTGTCAAGAGGAGGAAAAGGACTTCTTGTAACCTCCCCCTGCCCCATCCCATTGTAGCAGGTCCTTGGCTGCTGGCCAGAACAGTGGGGGTGGGAAGTAAGGACACGTCCTGTCCCTTCTCTGCTCACCTCTCATGTTGGTCCTTGATCTCACAAGTCTGAGGCTGGAAATGGGCAGCAGGTATAAGAGGCGGGGGAAGAGGCGGGGGAAGGCTTTGCCTTCCCCAAGGGCCAGGCATGGCCCTGCCCACACTCAGCCCCCAGGTCTAAGGAGTCGTACTGAAGCAGATGGTGTCGTGGGAGCAGCATGCTGCTTCCCCCTGTGCTTCAGCTGTGCTGTGGCTGGGGCCATGGGAGCAGTGCATCCTTGCAATGCTCTGGCCCCAGGGAGGCTGGGGCTGCGCTGTCTGGTGCTCTAGGGTTTGTGCATGGCTGCGCTGCCCAGTGCTCGGAAGGGGAACGGACGTTAACCTGGGGCAAGGCAGCCAGAATGAGTCAAGAGTGCAGGGTAGCAGCCACAGTGCAGGCCTGGCTGCAGTGGGCACCAGCACGGAAAGGCCAGGGGGTGGGGGATCACTGACCCAGCTGTTCACTCACTGCCCAGAAGGCTGGAGCAACACAGCCAGCCAGCCCCAGGCTGAAGGAGGAACTGAAATACAGGTGTGTTTGGAGAATGCAGCTACAATGATGCCTCACCAGACCCGCTCTGTGCACGGCCTGCTCAGTTACCGTGGGCACAAACCAAAGGAGGATTTTCCAGGACTTGGAGGAAGGCTGAGGCTGGGAACAAGCTTAAGGAGCATTGCTGAGATCATACCAGCAGGAACGCCTTGGACAAGTCCCTTTCCCTCTTTCTTCACCGTCTGTAACCTGAGGCTATAAATTCCCTGCACAGGGACCGCGTGTATACTGCACAATGGGGCTGTCTGGTGTC